CCACTTCAGACAAATAGATATCCAACATCTTCTTAAAAATTTCCAGTGTTCGAGCATTCAGAACTCCTGGAGTCAAGTTATTCCACTGATTAATGGTTGTAACTGTCAGGAAATTTCTCCTCAGTTCTAAGTTGCTTCTCTCCTTGATTAGTTTCCACCCATTGCTTCTTGTTCTACCCTCAGGTGCCTTGGAAAATAGTTTGACTCCTGCTTCTTTGTGGCAACCCCTGAGATATTGGAACACTGCTATCATGTCTCCCCTAGTCCTTCTTTCTATTAAACTAGACATATCCAGTTCTCAGGTTTGGTTTCCATGAATTTGGAGAGCAAAATGGATATCACGAACAGATTTAGAGTCTCTGATTATGCTTAGAAGGGTGCCGACTTAAAATCACCTTGTGGGGAAAATACAGTTAGGGTTAGGTCTCCATGAATTGAGAGAGCAATACTTAGGAGGGTGCCAGCTTTTAGAGACAGCATTATCTACATTTCCTGGTAAAATACATGTTTAAATCCCCTTTGGGGGCAAATTCACTTAGGGTTAGAGTTAGTTCTCCATGAATTTGGAGAGCAAAATGGACATCGCCAATGGATATGGAGTGCTTAATTATGCTTAGGAGGGCACCAACTTTCCAAGACAGACTTATCTAAGTTTCCTGGTAAAATACATGGAAAAATCCCCTTGTGTGGCAAATACACCTACAGAATGTAGGATGGTCTGCAGAGGGAAATAAAGTTTGAGATATATCTGAAGAAGATAACAATGGTAATTGCTGAGTTTGATTATCCTCATATACAGTAAATTGGAGATATTATTTTCCTGGATGCAATAAAGCAATCAGATTTCCAATGCTCTAAATGATAGGAGTGAGATTTGGAGAAGCACATAGTAAAGAACATTTGAACACAAACAACAACATTTTTCAAATATATTTGGAACAGGAAAGTGACCTGGGAAACCATTGGGTCATTGGAAGATGTGGCAGTTTGTTAAAATGTATTATATACAGCCTACTTTCCTTCCAAGAGCTCAAGGGAATATTTAGAGCATTGACTTCTTCATTTCCCCCCACAATAATAACTCTCCTATAAGATGTTGAGACTTTAAAAAGAGCGCAGAGGAGAGCAACAAAAATGATTAGGGGACTGAAAAGTAAAACATGTAAAGAACAGTTACAGGAATTGAGAATGACTAGTTTAATGAGAAGAAGGACTAGGGGTGACATGATAGCAGTGTTCCAATATCTCAGGGGCTGCCACAAAGAAAGCGGGGGCGCAATAGACTGAAACTAACCAACAAGACAACCAACCTAGAACTAAGGAGAAATTTCCCGACAGTTAGAAGAATTAATCTGTAGAACCACTTGCCTCGAGAGGTTGTGGGTGCTCCAATGCTGAAAGCTTTTAAGAAGCGATTGGACAATGATTTGTCTGGAATGGTATAGGGCAGGGGGTTGGTCTAGAAGACCAAATGAAACAAAAAAGTGGTAAAAGTTATGATATTTATATAGTTCCTTACCACGCACATTAGGGGTGGGTTCCTGCCAGTTCTAACCTCTTCTATAGAAGAGGTTCCACAAATCTACAGTGCCATTTTAGAACCAGTTCCAGCTCCCTCCCCCCCCCCCCCCCTCCGCCCATCCCCCAGATGAAGAGCGAGAGGAGGAATTCTGGGAGTTGAAGTCCACAAGTCTTAAAGCTGTCAAGTTTGAACACCCCTGGGGTTTTTTTTTCTAAAGGGTTAGGGGTGCAAGGGTCTTGTAACTTGATAGCTTTTAGACTTGCACACCTCAATGCCAGAGTTCCTGATCCAACATGACTGGAGGAGGAATTCTGGGAGTTGAAGTCCACA